TCCCTCTCTCTCTCTCTCTCTCTCTCTCCCCCCCCTCTCCCCCCTGTGGTTGTGTAATGAAGGGTTGTGAGCAGAGCAGCCGAGGGGTCTTGTTCTCAGGATGTGGCGAGACCTGACTGGCTCCTCGGCCCAGCTGCTTGACTCCTCTCACATGTCCCTGTGGGGGCGGAGCCAAGCAGCATCGGGTTTCTGCGTTACCGTGACGCTGCAGTGCTTGAGCAGTAGAGCTCAAAGGTCAGAACAAACCAGTCTAATCTCTGACGAACGACCATGCTAGTATTCTGTTCATCTCTAATTAGCGGCTTCTGTCCTCATGCTGACGTCACTTCCCACTTTTCCAGTCAGCCATATTTATTTAATGGGTCTTTTTTTTTTTTTTCATGGTAAAAGAGTTTATATAAACTTACTTCATCTCAGAAAGTAGTTATATTTTGCCTTAAATTCAAACGAAAAATGGAAATAATTTTCAAATCTATTTATTTAAATTAATTATATTAACATAGATGTACTGCTTTATTATAAAATATTTTTATAATGTAATGTATTTTTGTGTGTGAGTATAAATGTATACTATTAATTTTAAAACTTTAAGATGTTTTTTTGCACTGTGACATTCATTGTAGTGTTATTTTAGAATTATTTATAGTATTTATTTTTATTTAGCTTTAATTTATTTTTATTTCAATTTATATTGTAGTAATTTTAGTACTTCAACTTAATCTGCCAAGGCCACATTTCTAATTTTCATGTAGGTGTTCATCTAATATTTATATTGTATTTCATTTCAACTTATTTCAATTATCAAAACAATTTTTTTTGTTTGTTTTAGTTAACAAGACTGTTTCATTCTTTGCTGTTAGCTCATTTCTCATTATTGTTATATACTATATAATCACCTTTTCTGGACACAATTACTATTATAAACAAGTATTTTAATTTAAATAATAATTTTAAAAATCTATAATTTCAATAAATAAATAAATAAATATATAAATGCAAAATCTGCTAAATGCCACCTCCAAGACAAATGCAATATGACTTTTTTTTTCTTTCTTTTTTTTGTGAGATTCACCTGCATATATTTGTTATAATATATAATGCATGTTTAAGGAATTTTTTTGTTTAAGTTTTATTGTTTATTTGGAATGTGAAATTACAATATAAGTACCAGGTGGCCTTTGATCCGCTGTTGCACTGCGACAGCAGGATTTCCTTTTTAGTCCAGCAGACAATGTCTAAGATCTTCTTTAGGGGGTCCGGCACCCCTATTGTGTCTGCGCGGTGAGGGATCGTCCTTCAGCATGACTCAAATATCAGCTGTTTGTTTTAACCAAACTTGAGCATGTCAGTGAAGGGCTGGGGCCAGTTCCTCCACATACCAGAGCGCAATTGGGGGAAATGGGGGGTCAGGTCTGAAATCCGGAGGTGAAGAGGGGGTGGATTTAGTCCTCTTTTAGCCATAAAAGGAAATAAGTGCGTCACGTTCCTCATGAGCTCCAGATGTGTCAGCACAAGCCAAGTGTCTCGGCCTGATTCCGCATGCCGCGAGGAGCAGTCAATAGTGAATACTACTGTTCACTAATTACAGCTTATGTTAATACGTCAGTCTAGACCAAAGTGCGTACAGTTGTGTAACTTTAATAAATATCAGATTTTGTTTGCTTATCAGATTTGGCATGTGGCAAAATCTTTATTAGTTTAAAAAAAATTAACAGTTGCATAATAACCACAGCTTATTTTTATTAAGACTGAAATCTAAAAAACTGTTGGTCAAGATCGCTTTAAAAATTGATTTCAAATCAGCAATAAAACTGATAGCACTAGTATTATATATTTTGCTTCTTTGCCTCAAATTATGCATAAAAATAAAACAAATTTAGGTTTGAGCAAAAATATTCTTGAGTAAACAAACGGGATGATATCAGAAAGATGATTGGCTATTTTAATGGGGAGCTACTATATTGAGTGTCTCGATTTCTGTCGTTAATTTTCTTTGTCTTTCTTTCTCAAGATCATCTTTCAATAATTAATTTCGAATCAGCAAGGAAATGGTATATATTTTGAATTTTTTGGCTTAAATCACACACACACAAAAAATTTAATTTTTAGGTTACAGTAAAAATGTTCTAGAGTAAACAAATAGGTGATGCCTCTATCAGAAAGATGATTGGCTGTTAAAGTGGAGAGGCGGGACTTGCTTTCCTACTGCCGCTCCACTGTAAAAAAATAAAATAAAAAAGGTTTTACCTGTATTTTGAATTTTGCACTTCATTGCATTGTTTTATAGGGTTAACCAGAAAAAAGTAATGGATAATGTCCTGACAGAAAACAGTGTGCTACAGTGTAGGATAGGCTAAATATTAATTTTTCTTAATAGGGAATTCACGTTATTCTGAACACATCAGCTTTGTGTTTTTCTAACACTTGATTTATGTCGTGTTGAAGTTTCACACAATGGCCATTTCAATTTGCACCGCACTGATGACAGACTCAAATAGCACTCTGACAGCTTGGCCTGTGCCCATAGCAAACGCTGG